TGGAAGATCTCACCAATAGAGTGACATTTAATAGGCTATGAATGTAGCTCAGCTGGTAAAGTATTTGCCTACCGTGCCTGAAGGCCTGGCATATATATCTATAATCCCAGAACTCAGGAGGCAGAGGCAGGAGGATCAGAAACTCAAGTCCAACCTCAGCTGCACAGTGGATCCAAAGCCAGCCATACATAAGACCTGCCTTAAAACAAAAGACAAAATCTTCACGCATTATCTCTGCAGAAAGAACATGCTAGGAGGGGAGAAGACCACATGCAAATTCCCAAGTAGGGATTCACCTGTCTGCCTGTACTCTAGGAGGGGAGAAGACCACATGCAAATTCCCAAGTAGGGATTCACCTGTCTACTTATCACCCTAAGAGGGGAGAAGACCACATGCAAATTCCCGAGTAGGGATTCACCTGTCTACTTATCACCCTAAGAGGGGAGAAGACCACATGCAAATTCCCGAGTAGGGATTCATCTGTCTACCTGTACCCTAAGAGAGGAGAAGACCACATACAAACTCCCAAGTAGGGATACACCTGTCTACCTGCACCCAATGAAATGCTCAAAACCTCAGGCTGCACACAAGCCCCCAAAGACTGGTGTGTTTTATATATGATGCACTTCTCATACCATAACATATATCACTTTAGGGGAGGGTGGGGATGCTGATAGGTGAAATACAGGTGCTCAACAAAGTCCTGACAGTTTCAAGAGAGGTGAAACTTAAGAATGACAAAGCCATTTTAATATGATCGGAGGGCCAGTTGTCAAGAGGTTATATCAGTCCTAAATACCTATGAAGGACCACATGTCAAGAGGATATATTAGTTCCAAGCATCTGTGTTTTTAACAACAGAGTGTTAAAAAAAATGCACCAGGCAAAACCCCAGCCAAAAATAAGGAAATTTACAATTACACCCTGCTTTTAATAAATGACAGAACAAGTATTCAGAAAAACCAGTGAAGATACAGAAGACTTGGGCATTATCAGTCATTGTGATCTGTGAGACAGACTCTGAGAACATCTATGAAGACAGCCCATCTTCTGGGCACTGAGACAAGCCTCAAAAAAGACTTCGAATAATTCACTGTATGTTCCCTGACACACTGGAATTAAAGATCCAGAGCAGAGAAATCTTTGGGAAAGTACCAAATTCTTAAAAACTAAGTCAGAAACTTCTAAGTAACCTATGGGTCAGAGAAGAAATCTAAAGCGAAATTAGAATTTGATATGAATAGAAATTAAAACATAAACCAGGTGTAGTGGCTCATGCCTTTAACCCACCCAGCGCTTGGGAGGCAGAGGTAGGCAGACCTCTGTGAGTTGAAAGCCAGCTTGGTTTACAGAGTGAGTTCCAGAGAAAGCTAAATAGTGAGACCCTGGCTTGGAGAAAAGGAAGGAAAGAAGGAAGAAAGGAAGGAAAACATATGATGTTACAATTGGCGGGGCACAGCTAAAGCAGTAATTCAGAGAATTTTATAGTGCTAAATGAATATCCCAAGAAAAGATGACTCGAAGCAACAGCATCTGCTTGCATTTCAGGCGGTTCTAACAGAGTGGAGCATGGTGTTGCGACACTGACGTCTCAGGCACTTGGTAGGCAAAGGTGGAGGGATCACTGAGCCCAGGAAAAGACGACTAGCCTGGGCAGAGCAGCAAGACACCACTTTCCAAGGACATGAGAACAAGAGAAAGGTAAATCTAAAGTAAGTAAATAAGAAAGAAGAGTTATGAGTGAAAAATCAATGGAACTAAATGAGAATAATCAATGGATGTAAGTGCTAGCTCTTTGAGAAAATCAATACTTATGAAACCCAACCCTGCCTGATCAAGAAAAGGAGAAAGAAAAAGGTACAAGTTACTAATATCGGGAATGAAAGTTGACATCACTGTAGAATTTACAAGTATTGTAAAGAAAATAAAAGACTATTACAAACACCCTTATGGCAATACATTTGTCAATTCTGATAAACAAAACAATTTTTTTAGAGTCACCTACTACCCGAGTTCGCTGAAGGCTAGAGGTGACTTAATGACCCCATGTCTGTTGAGGGCATTTAACTGATAGTTTAGAGGCTTCTCCACAAAGCTTGCAGTCTAGGTGGTCTTGGTGAATCCCACTGAATGTGTACAAAAGAAATTAAAAGAAGCTTACTGAAACTTTCCTAGAGAATGGAAAAAGAAGGGTTAATTTCTGACTCATTCTAGAAGGCCAGCACTACTTTCATACAAAAGTCAGATAAATAAATTATAATTAAAAATGGTCTAATATCCCTTGAGAATACAAGTAGAACATTTCTGTATCAAATTCTTTCCAACTGAAGCCAATGGCATATGAAAGGGGAATTCATCAGAACCACGTGCTGTTTATTTCAGGGATGAAAAATTAGTTACACATTAGGGAAAGGGTCAGCAAAGGCTCTGTGTAAAGGTACCAGCTACCAAGCCTGACAACACAAGCTCAACTTCCAGGGCCCACATGGCGGAAGGAGAGAATGGATCCCCCACATTGTGCTCTGACCTCCACATATAGGCTGCAGCACACGCCCCAATCTCCCCCAAGACCCATACTAAATAAAAGTAATTAAAATGTTTTTAAAAATAGAGAGAAAACCTCAACATAATTTACCACATTAGCAAACTAACAAAGAAAAGCCATGTGATTATCTCAGCCAGAGAAGGCATTTGACAACACCCGATATCCATTCATGATTGAAACCGTCTGCAAACCTGGGAAGGGAGCCTCCTTGACCTGACAAAGGGCATCTCCACCAAGTAAGTCTATAGTTAACATCAGACTGATGCCAAAAGACTGAACACTTTCGTTAGGACCAAGGCACAGATTCCGTTCTTACTGTGCCACTCAGCACAGTACTGGAGGCTTTAGTCACTGAAATAAAGCAAGAAAAAGAAGTAAAAAACATTGATTGGAAAGGAAAAGATAAAACTGCCTTTACCAGCATGATCATCCATGCAAAAAGGAATCTCATAAAGAGCCACTAAGGCTAATAGCCATAAGGTTATATGATTAATATATAAACATCAATTATATTGGAGGATCAGGAGGCATAGGGAAGGCAGTGAGGGGGAAAATAAATTTGAATAAAATATAATGACTTATATGTGTAAAGTGCCACAATGAAACCCATTACTTCATAGTTTATGTTAAAGTAATTTTAAAAATTAGAAATCATAGCCAGGGCAGTGGTGGTGCATGCCTTTAAATCCCAGCACTTGGGAGGCAGAGGCAGGCACATTGTGTTTGAAGCTAGCCTGGTCTACAGAGAGAGTTCCATGACAACCAAGGCTACACAGAGAAACCTTGTCTCAAAAAACAAAACAAACTCAAAAAAAAATTAGAAGTAGTCTATACAGTATATTCTAGCAGCAAACAATTGAAGCTGAAATTTAAAACATTTATCATAACACCAATGCAGATGTAAGTATAAACCTAACAAAATGTACATAAGAGACCTTTCTATTCAGAAGCACCAAACAAGTGAGAGATCGAGGAAGACCTAAATAAATGGAGAGGGACAGTGTTCACAGGTTAAAAGGCTCAGCACTGTCAGCTAAGACACCTGTTCTCAGAACTGGGGACGTGGCTCAGGGCTATGTCACTTGCCTAATGTGTCAAGGTTCAGTACCAAACACTACAAAAATTCCTTCAGGTTGTATACAAATTCAACACTATCCCAAACAAAATCAGAAATTATAACTGAGTCTATAATTCATATATCTATTCACACGACTTCATCTGCTAAGTTACCACAGAGCTACAGCTTTTAGGACAGTGGCGATTTGTCTTCAGTCAGACATCCAGGCCAAAGACAGATTACATGGGGAACTGGTTCTCACTATTGGGACAAAGTCAGCTGGGAGCTGGAAGGAAGACTCTCTTCAACAGGAACCCTGGAAGATCTGTTCCACCCCCATGCCACATGCAAAGTGTACAGAATAGAACAAAACGTAAATGAAAAACCCAAACAATTCAACTTCCAGGAGAAACCATGAGAAACACAGCCGTGACCTTGGGTTAGGCGAAGATTTCTTAGACAAAATACCAAAAGTACACTCTGTGAAAGAACGAATAAACTAGACGTCATCAAAACAGAAACGTCTAGTCTTTGAAAGGAACTGTTGGGAGGATGGAAAACAAGACACAGACTGAGAAAAATATTTGCATTCATCTGAAAGAAACTTGAAAGTCAGCAGCTTTCCAAGCTCTCCTCCTAGACCAGCATCCTGTGATTAATGGACTTCGCTCAGGAAGAGACTTGGGCAATAGAGAATCATGGCCAGCAGGAATCTAGCGCGCACGGGGGATGTGGGAGGGGTGTGGGGGGGGGGCTCCAGCCTCAGCAATCCCTACAGGGTGTGCTAAAACCAAGTCATTGCCCTCCACCCTTGGAGTTTCAGAACGAGAAGAGGTCTAGATTCACATCTCTAGGAAGCTTCTTGACCACCACACTTTGAGAAACCCCAATTTTGAACAGAGTAGAAATACAATGCCAGATGCAAAATCTCCCAACAAAGGGACATTTCCTAGGTAGGTACACTCTGGTTAGTAAGAAATCAGTTTTCATGTATTGTGAGAGCCTCCTATTCTTGGGAGACTTTTCTCAGTTTTCCTTAATAAATCTAAAAAAAAAAAAAAAGCTTCTCTTTTTTTATTAGCTTGAAACTTCTGTATCTGCTCATCAGAGCTTCTGCTTAAAGAAACAACTAACTCCCCATACAGGGTTTCTGAGCTGGCAGGATTCTCCAGGCTTCTTCCTTCACAGTTCACTTTCGTTACCACTAAGGTCTTTGAGCACTCTACCAGGACCAGATCTCTTATCTAGAATTCCCCCTGGATGCTACATACTGCCTCACAGTAACCATCTCATAATATCAGCAAGCAGGAAACCATGTTACCCCTCTTAAGCCTATCACATTTCCCTGATTCTCCCCATGGTAACCCATCCCATGCAAGGCTGTCATTAGGTCTCACCATCCAAAATGGCCCACTGATTGTCAATCTCCGTATGCTTCAGGTACGAATCTTCAATGGTGGGGTCGTAGTCAGGCACAAAGATCTTCTGGAAAAACTGGATGGTGAGGGCGCTCTTGCCCACACCTCCATCTCCCACCACTACTAGTTTATACGTGGGGAGGTTGTCACTGGGTACAGCGCTGGTGGCCATGCTTCTGGTAGCCACACCTAGGGAAGAAAGACACATGAGATGAAGGAGGGGTCTCTTTCTTTTGAACTAGGGAAAAATATCCATTGGCTTTCTTTCCTGAATTTGAGAGAAATATTCATGGGAACAAAAACTTCCAAAGGTCAATTAGGAAGTGAAACAAGGCAAAACAATGTGAGCATGTCATGCACGGTCCCACCACCCAAATACAACTGCCGTTTCAATGACCTGTTCACCACTATTCCCTCCACAGCAACTACACTCCAGGTCCGGGCTGATTCACCCCATCCCACTGGTCTTCACCGAGCTCAGCTAAAGCTGTGTGAAGAAAGTTTCTCTACAACTAGCCTCTGCCCCAGAGCTGCACACTAAGCAGGGGGGCTCTGGGCCAAGCAGGGATAGAAGACACACACCTTTCACAGCACTGCCTATCAACTAGAACAATTCCAGTCTTATCAATCTTCGGAATGCCCTGCTGAGGAAGACCTGAGGCTGTTGAGCTCAGAGGACAAAGAGGCTGTGCCAATTCAGCACGCCTGTGCTCTGAGAGGCCCTTTCCAACCCAAATCTGCCATCCTGTCCTTCCATCTTCTTGTACTTCATTATGCTAAAGTCATGACAACATTAAAGGGAATCTGTCCGTCCATTTAACCTGGAACAAAGGGAAGGAAGGAGTGGGTGTTGTAGTGATTCTCAGCCAGGAGCAGTTCTCTCCCCTACCATGATCTCTGCGATGTTGGGATGTTTCTGGGTATCACCAAGGGGGCAGAGGCCAGAGAAGCTGCTTCACATTCTAGAAAGCACAAGCCGGTCTTCCCCAGCAGAGACCTGTGGGGGCTGAGAAACTCCCCACTAAGGCAGAGGATAGAGCTGGAAATGTGGGACCCCAGGGTTCTGAAGAATGATAGGACTTTCCCAGGCTAAGACTGATTGTCTGACGAGGTGACAGAGAGCAGAGTGACCTTGGGAAATGCTGTCACTGAGTGCCCAGAAAGAGAGGCAAATGGGGGTCATGGAAGGAGCATTCAGAAAACCAGGAAGGAACCCATGGAGTGCTATCCGTCTGCAGTCAGCTGTGGGTGGTAGTCGATGTCACACACCGGTGAGGGAAGGACACTTTGTAAGGGCCAGAGAGGTGGCTGGCTCCAAGGAACAGATTTTTCAGACATAACAGTTGCACACATGGACTCACAGCAATAGTGACCACATGCACAAGATGGGCAAAACCTCAGGCCAGGACAGTGCGGAAGCAGGAGGAGGTGGGCACCAAATTCCAGCACTAGCAGGTGGCCACTGGCCGCTAGGAGGAGTGCCAGCTGTCTGGTTAGGTAGCCACACGCTGGGGCAGACTCCATGCCCGAAAGTAGCTGGGTAACACAAACTGGACTAGACAGAAGAAAAGGAGGAGATGCTCAAAGTTGGGTGCGTAGAGAGGGTAAATGTGGGAGGAACGAGGAGAGGCGGTGAATAGGATCAAAATGCATTGCACAAAAATCTTCTGAAAAGAACAATTAGGACTGCTAGCAGGGACAAAAGCAGCCCACTGAAGAGCCTGCCAGGGAAAAGCAAGCCGCAGGACTCGCAGGCCACTCCCAAGCAGCATAAAAACCAATCCTGAGGGAGCATACGCTTGCTGTTATCTCTGTACAGATGAAAACACCCCAGCGCTGCTCTGGGGAAGAGAGAGGCTCAAGGGGTAGCTGGTAAAGATGGATGGGGGGATAGCATAACCCAGAGGACAAGGGCCTGGGTTCCTGTCACTACCGCTGCGCCCCCCCACCCCCACCCCAAATCATGGTTTTCTTCTATACCAGACTAGCAGCTAGCTTGAGAGGTATTTATAATTATTTTCGACTCTACAAGATGTTCAATGCTAGGCTGCGACACAAAGGGTGTTAACAAAAATGTGGGCTGCGTGGCCATGTTGATTTGCATGTGGCTAAAGGCCAGCGCTGCTGCTGGAGCCTCCCCAGTCACTGAAACCTGATGTTGACATTTTGGACTCCCCCAAAGTGTGGGGGAAGTACAAGCTTTTCTGAAGGCAGGAAGAATATAAATCTGTCAAAGTTGGGCGGAGAACAGGCTTTCAGAAATGGATCAAAATTAAAAAGGGCACACCCTCTTTAACATTCTGTCAGGTGAGACTTTATTGCAAGGAAAAAGTCTAATCGGGGAGCTTCACAAAAATGTTAGGAATGGGGAGATGGAGGTGTGAAGAATCCAAATGTTGGGGGAAAAAAACAGATACGCGTAGCAACCAGTTAACTAACTGGGTGCAGTGGTATACACCTGTAATCCCCGAACTGGGGAGGCTAAGGCAGTAGGGTCACAAGTTCAAGCAAATGTGGGATACATAGCAAAACCCTCTTGCACATGCATGCATGCACGCATACATAGAAACAAAACCAAAACAGAATGCTTAACAAACCTAGAAAAATATTTGTACTATATATGGAAAAACACCAGACCTCTAAACAGCAAAGGTACAGGGCCACTATTACAGGGAGGTATGCATCCATGATTGTCCTGGCCCAGAGGTGGATCCCAAAACAGCAAGGTTTGGAAGGTAGCTATCCCAAAATCAGACTGCAGGGCTCTTTGATTTCCTGTGTCTGTTTTCCATCTCTGTGTGTGTGGGGGACGGGGGGGTCTGTCTGTCTGTCTGTCTGTCTGTCTGTCTCTCTCTCTCTCTCTCTCTCTCACACACACACACACACATACACATGCATACACACATCTGCTCATGCATACAGTCAACATCCTTAGCCATGAATTCTGTATTTGCAGATTCAAATCAACTATGAGTTGTAAATTATTGAAAATTTGGCAATCTTACCAAAAGCAATCTACAGATTCAAATGCAATGCCCATCAAAATCCCAGCAAAATTTTTCACAGACCTTAAAAGAACGGTACTCAACTTCATATGGAAAAGCAAAAAACCCAGGATAGCCAAAACAATCCTGTACAATAAAAGAACTTCCGGAGGCATCACAATCCCTGACTTCAAACTCTACTACAAAGCTACAGTACTGAAAACAGCCTGGTATTGGCATAAGAACAGACAGGAGGACCAATGGAGCCAAATCGAAGACCCAGATATTAATCCACACTCCATCAAACACTTGATTTTTGACAAAGAAGCAAAGAAATCAAATGGAAAAAAAGAAATAATATTTAACGAATGGTGCTGGCATAACTGGATATCAACATGTAGAAGAATGAAAATAGACCCATATCTATCACCATGCATAAAATTCAAGTCCAAATGGATCAAAAACCTTAACATAAAGCCAGCCACACTGAACCTTATAGAAGAGAAAGCGGGAAGTACACTTGAATGCACTGGCACAGGAGACCACTTCCTAAATATAACCCCAGCAGCACAGACTCTGAGAGAAACAATTAATAAATGGGACCTCCTGAAACTGAAAAGCTTCTGTAAAGCAAAGGACACGGTCAACAAGACAAAACGACAGCCTACAGAATGGGAAAAGATCTTACCCAACCACACATCAGACAGAGGTCTGATCTCCGAAATATACAAAGAACTCAAGAAGTTGGTCATCAAAAAGCAAGTAATCCAATAAAAAAAATAGAGTACAGACCTAAACAGAGAACTCTCAACAGAGGAATCTAAAATGGCTAAAAGACACTTAAGGAAATGTTCAACATCCTTAGTCATCAGAAAATGCAAATCAAAACAACTCTGAGATTCCATCTTATACCTGTAAGAATGGCCAAGATCAAAAACACTGATAACACCTTATGCTGGAGAGGTTGTGGGGGTAAAGGGAACACTCCTGCATTGCTGGAGTGAATGCAAGCTGATCCAACCCCTTTGGATGTAAGTGTGGTGATTTCTCAGAAAATTAGCAAACAACCTTCCTCAAGACTCAGTAATAACACTTTTGGGTATATATCCAAAGGATGCTCAATCGTGCCACAAGGATGTGTGCTCAACTATGTTCATAGCAGCATTGTCATAGCCAGAACCTGGAAACAACCTAAATGCCTCTAGACTGAAGGACAGAGGTAGATAAGGACAATGTGGTACATTTATACAATAGAGTACTACACGGAAGAAAAAAATAACATCTTGAATTTTGCAGGAAAATAGATGGAGCTAGAAAACATCATTTTGAATGAGGTAACTCAGACACAGGACAATTATCACATGTACTCACTCATAAGTGGTTTTTAAACATAAAACAAAGAAAACCAGCCTGCAAATCACAATCCCAGAGAACTTAGACAACAATGAGGACCCTAAGAGAGACTTACATAGATCTAATCTACATGGGAAGTAGAAAAAGACAAGATCTCCTGAGTAAATTGGAAGCATAGAAACCTTGGGGGAGGGTTGAAGGGGAGGGAAGCAGAGAAAAATGTAGAGCTCAATAAAAATCAATAAAGAAATAAAAATAAGAATTGAAAAACTTTGGGGGGGGGAGGAGTCTTGGCGATCTAAACCAGTCACCCAGATCTTTGTTGGTAAGGGCAATGGAGAATCAGGTGCCCACGTAGCTCCTAAGAATGGGCTTCCACCTTTCCTTAGGTGGAAAGATCACAGGTTTTAACATGATTAGTTAGCAAAAACAGTCAGTGTTTCACCAGCCTCACCTGAAGCTGGCAGGCTCTGTCGATGGTAACTTGAGAATAGCCTGGGAAGACTGACAGCCCCTCAACCAAAACCAACCAACGAACCTTCACTGTGAAAAAGATCAACAGAATACAAAGCTCCTCCCTGGCTTCTGACCACACCTGTCTGGAAGCGAAAAGGTACATCTCCTCCAGTCCTCTAAACTATACTGCTTGGCCAGCCTGTCTGATGCTGACGTCAGCGAGATGAGGCCTTGAGAAGCTGCTGCCCCTGACCTCCCCGCTCAGCCTTGAGACCTGCACTGGGAATATAATCTGCTGTACCCTTCTTCCAGCCTTCCCCAGTCCCGGATGCTTGGTCACAATACAGATATTAAATCTTATCATTCTTTTATAATTTACGTATGCTATATTAATAA